TATTTATATAATTTATCATATATATATGTTGTGCATAAAATTAGAATAGGCGTGAATTTAAAACTGAGTTGCGTCAGATTAAAATTTAATTTTGAGATACATAAGATTCAAATTTCTGACTTGCATCAAATTGAAATCTATAAATTACATATTAAGCAGAAAATACAGAAAATACGTAGCAAATAATTAATTTAATACATGTATTAAGTTTGAGCTTTGTTATCACACAGATTTCTACTATGATATTTGCTTCCACATCTAATGCTAGCTTTTTTGCAACAACATTTATTCATATTATAGCTACTCTTACATTTGTATATTGTTCCTGCAAGTGTACTAGTATTTTGGTTTTGTGCTGCTTCTCTAACAGATATATGGTCTGTTAGAATATTTTCTAATTCTGAAAATTCTTTCACACCTAATGACTCCATTTCTCCTGTACAATATTTATTATATAATATACTATCTTTGCACCCAAGACAGTATTTAAATATATTATTATAATTTAACTTATCTAGAATTTTACATAGAAGGATTGGTTGATCTGTACTAAATCGATCAATTTTGGAAATAAGAATTTTTACGTATTTTCTAATTTTATATTCTAATCTATACTTCGATTTTGCAATCATTGCAAATATCATCTTGGTTGTATAAATCTCTAAATTCTGACAAGCAAAGTTTCTTAAAAGTTGATATCCTATTAATTGTTGATTTGTTAAATCTTGTAATAACTATATATAATTTAATTAATTAATATAAATATTAATATAGTACGTACATATGATTATTCTGTTTTATACTGATATAGAAACAAATAAATATGCATATTAATAAAATTAATATTATAAATCTACTATATTCTGATTTTTATGATCATTGTTAACTGAAAATTCTAAGTTACTTGATGTTTCTATATTCAAATCTTGATTTAAACTTGAAGATTCTGTTGTTGTTATAGGTATGAAATTAGTGTTATTGATTAAATCATCCAAATTGTTAACTAATTCCTGAATATTTTCTAATCCAAATTCATTTAAAATCTCATCTTTAGAAAAAATGCTAGTTTCAAACAACTGATCAAATGCAGTAGAATGACTATATAGAGCTCTACCAAATACAAGCTCATAAGGTTTTTTATTATATGCTCAACAAACTGAGTTATTTATTGCATAAATTGCAAATCTCAATTCAAATGATTAATCTTGATACTTATTGTCTTCTATTCACTTTTCTAACTTTATTTCAAGAATTCCATTTGCCTGTTCAACTAGACCTTAACTAGCAGAATGTCTAGGTCTCCTATTAATAATTTGAATTGTGAGCTATAAATGAACCAATTCAACAATTACTGAAACAACAAATTCCTTCCCATTATCTAATTGAAGAATTAGAGGTGGTCCGAATATAGTAAAAATTTTAAATAAAAAAGCTGCCACTTTAATTGCTCGTTTAGAGGTAAGAGCACAGGCCCAGGAATATCTAGTAAAATGATCACACAGATGAGTGATGTACTTAAATTCATTATCATGTTTAAAGGTCATATCAATTAAGTCAATCTATTAAAAATAAAAAAAAATTAATGCTCTATTATAATAATAATTATAAAACATTTATGCTAATAATTTACTTATAAGTATGATATGAATTTTCATTCAATAATTGGAATTCTAGCTAGTGGTTGAATTTGTGTATACCTTGCTACACAAACAGTACATTATGTTACAAATTTTTCTACAAAATCTTGTCAGCAATATCCCCATTTACTACTAACCTGATTCCATATTTCCTTTTGACCACTATGCAGAGTAATTGTTGCATGTATCTTGCAAAGTTCATCGTACATGTTTTCTATAGCTAGCACAAGAAGTTCAATTTTAACCTTCATATTATTTTTTTTATTTTGTGTTTGAATGTGAAGTACAATATAGGAATCATTAATTTTTTGTAATTTAAAATTTTTTTAACCCAATAATGAAAAGTAGATGTATATTGGGTGAAATTCATAGGATCAATAAGAATTTTCTTAATTCTTTGTAATTTTTCTTGATCGATCAATGCTTTTTCTTTTTTTTTTGGTGCCAAACTTTCAATGTATTCTTTAACCAAGTTATCAAAAGTTTGCTGTAATATAAATGAATATTTTATATTATTAGGTTTGACATAAAATATATATATATTATTTCAAAAAATAGAAAAGAACTATTAACTAGTTCAAGTGAAAAAAAAATTTATTATTTTATTTATTATTATCATTATTACTATATACATTTATTATGTACATTTCAATCTGATGCATAAATCATAAACTAGTCTGATACATCTCAGACTTAAATTTTAATCTGATGCAACTCAATTCTAAATCTACATCTGATACACGATATATATAATAAATGAAATAAGTATAATTAATGCAAGAAAAGTAATAAATTAGATATAATATTTTTATTATATTTATTAGATAAATAGTATAAATATAATAAGTTAGATAAATTATACACAAAATTTATATTATAAATAAAGGCTGTGTAAGCCTAGTGAGGAA